TTGATATTTAAGGACCATCTTCTCCAGGCCCAAGAGCGTTGCATCCCAACTAAAAGAAAGTCAGTTAACAACTCCAGGAGGCTGGTGTGGATGAGCAAGAAGCTTCTAGAAAAGCTCAAACTTCAGAAGAAAGCATCCAGAGGTTGTAAGCTTGGGCAGGTACCCTGGGAAGTTCACACAGAGGCTGTCCAAGCAGCCAGGGATCAGGGACCAGGTCAGGAGAGCCAAATCCCAGATGGACTTAAATCTTGCCAGGGATGTAAAGAGCAATAAGAAAAGCTTCTGTAAGTATGTTAGGGATAAAAGGACAACCAAGGAAAAAGTAGGCCCTCTCCTGAAGGAAATGGGAGACCTGGCTATGCAAGACATTGAGAAAGCTGAGGTTGTCAAGGACTTCTTTGAACAGTCTTCTCTGGCAAGTGCTCCAGCCTCATTGCAAAGGCCACAGCAGGTGACAGCAGGGACTGGGAAAACAAAGTACTCCCCACTGTAGGAGAAGAACAGGTCCATGACCATCTAAAGAACCTGAAGGTGCACAAGTCTGTGGGACCTGATGGGGTCCATCCATGGGTCCTGAGGGAGCTGGGGGATGCAGTTGCTGAGCCTCTGTCCAGCATATCTGAGAGGTCATGGGGGTTTGGGAAGGTTCCTGCTGATCGGGAATGGGAAAGGCACCGGCTCGATGCCTGGATGCCACCATTTTCTTCTGTTCATTTTTTTCTTAAAAACCTTTTTGTTCTGCAAGAATGTAAAGTTCTCCTCTTTGCCCTGCCTTACCATTATTATTCTGGTGGCCATATTGCAATGTGTGTGCCCCCAGTCAGCCTTGGTTTGAAGGGGATATCTTGGTTCCAGTGAGAAAAGGTGAGTCAGTCCACTGCATGAAGCATGGTAGAGCATAAAGGAGATGAAGGTTGATGTGGAAAGGATAAAAAGCAGATTGCTGTGGTCAATGGCTCAGTGTCCCAGTGGAGGCAAATGATGAGTGGTGTTCCTCAGGGCTCAGTACTGGGACCAGTGCTGGACCAGTCTCTTTGTGGGAGACATGGACAGTGGGATTGAGTGTCTCCTCAGCAAGTTTGCTGCCAATACCAAGTGTGTGGAGTAGTTGACACCTTAGAGGGAAGGGAGGCCATCCAGAGGGACCGTGACAGGCTGGAGAAGTGGGCTCATGCCAACCTCAGGAAGTTCAACAAGGCCAAGTGCAAAGTCCTGCACCTGGGTTGGTACAACCCCAGGCACAAATCCAGGCTGTGGGGAGAATGGCTGGAGAACAGTCCTGAGGAGAAGGACTTGGGGTGGGAGGAGATGAGAAGCTGGACATGAGCCACCAGTGTGTGTTGGAGCCCAGAGGGGCAGCTGTGTCCTGGGCTGCATCAAAAGAAGTGTGGCCAGCAGGGCCAGGAGGGGATTCTGCCCCTCTGCTCTGCTCTGGTGAGACCCCACCTGGAGTGCTGTGAGCAGCTCTGGAGCCCTCAGCACAGGAGCTGTTGGAGAGGGTCCACAGAAGGGATACAAAGATGATCCAAGGGCTGGAGCAGCTCTGCTCTTGGGACAGGCTGGGGGAGATGGGGTGTTCAGCCTGGGGAAGAGAAGGCTCCAGGGAGACCTTAGAGCACCTTCCAGTGCCTGAAGGGGCTCCAGGAAAGCTGGGGAGGGACTTTTCACCAGAGAGGGCAGTGATAAGACAAGGGGTAATGGTTTTAAACTGAAAGAGGGTAAATTTAGGTTAGACATCAGGAAGAAATTCTTCATCATGAGGGTAGTAAGGGGCTGGAACAGGTTACACAGGTTGTTCAAGGCCAGTTTGGATGAGGCATTGTGCAGCCTGGTCTAGTGGGAGGTGTCCCTGCTCACGGCAGAGAGCTTGGAACCCGATGATCTTTAAAGTTCCTTCTAACCTTCACCATTCTATGATTCTATGATTCTCTGTTTTTTTCAGGAGTTGGGGGGAGGCAAGTTACAGTCCTCAAATGTGTATTTTGCCTGGCTCTTCATTCCCTTCTCAGAAACGAGTGTGTTTGCTTTATTTCTGCCTGTTTCTCTTTCCTCAGGCATGGATGAGAATCACAAAAATATGAATGGAATGAGTAAGAGGAAAACAAGATCCTTTTCTTCTCTTGATTCATTTGAACATGTTGCAGAGGGCCCTCTGGACCATCTGGTCATTGTGAAGGCTCCAGAAACCAGGGCAAGAGGTTTCTTCTAACACCTCAACTACCACTGCTTTGCTTAGGATTGGTCCTGTTTTGGGGTCATCTTGGTCTATGCATTAGTCTTCCCACGTTTTTTCAGCTCCCTGTGTCTTATTTCACATGTCAGGGGTCTCTTCACCTTTGGATTTTGCTGCTGCTTGTATCTACTTGAAAACAATGAGAGGTTTGGGGATTTGGGGGTCCTTTTCCATTGTTCTTTCTACCCCATGCTCCCCTCTTCCAGCTGTGAAGGCACAGACTATTGCAACAAAGCACCACTGTGTGGTTCTCCTGGAGGATCTGGTGAATTTGGTGGCAGCTGTCCCTTTAGTCCTGGAGAGAGGGGCCTTCCCTCCCCTCTGCTGCTTTCTGGCCAAGGGCCTTTTTGGCCCTTGGGGTTCCTGCCCGCTCTGCTCCTCTGCCGAGGCTCTGCGGAGAGCTTCCCCTCCTGAGGCTCTTGCTGTCTGAATGGCTGGCTCTTGCTTCTCTTGAATACATTGCACAGGGGTCTGGTTCTTTTCTTGTCTGTACGTTGCTAGGTGAGCCATAAAATAAATGCTTATTCCCTTAGGCATTCTGCACAAAAATCAGAGCATCCCACGGTGGGTGAGGGTGGAATGGGCCTCTAAAGATCATCTAGTGCAACCTCACCCCTGCTCAGAGTTTGATCCAGCTTGCAATTTAAAAATTTAAAATCAAAAAGTGCTGATGTTGAAGTGACCTCTATTCCAATTTGTGCCCGTTCCTCTTGGAATTCTTTTACTTGGCACGACTGAGAAGAGTCTGCCTCCATCTTCTTTACCCCTCCCCCCTAAGATTTACACACAGAGCTAAGGTCTCCCTGGGCTTCCTTTGCTCCAGGAAAGAAGCAGTCCCAGCTCTCTCAGCCTCTCCACAGAGCTCACGTGCTCCAGGCCCTTCAGCATCTTCCTGGCCATCTGATTTCTTCTTACAGAGACTTTGAAGTCAGAGTTGTCAGTGAGAATAACTGAATTGGCAGCAATAAGCATGTTCTAGGGAAGAAAGGAGTAAGTGCTCTTTTTGTGTGACCAACTGGTGTGGGTTACACAGTAGAACCCACAGCACTTGCTGTGTAAAAGCTGCTGCTGTTGCAATCTCTTCCAAGTACAAAGTTCACAAGAAAGAGTTGTGTCTGTTTTTATATTTTGATACATTTGTCATGGTATTTGCGGTAACCATAAAGAAAATCTCGGCATCATCTGTAGGGTCTTTTCCAGTTTTCCATCCTAAGGTGGAGAAAATGAGAATAATGGCTCATCCTTTTTTCTGTCCCATGGTGTATGCTAGTCCTGCAGCAGCTGCTGTGGCACCTCCTCTCTCACGGAGCTGCAGAAGCCTCCACAGAATTTGTCCCTATCATAGAATCATAGAATCATAGAATCTTAGGGGTTGGAAGGGACCTCAAAAGATCATCTAGTCCAACCCCCCTGCCAGAGCAGGGTCACCTAGAGTACATCACATAGGAACGCATCCAGGTGGGTTTTGAATGTCTCCAGAGAAGGAGACTCCACAACCTCCCTGGGCAGCCTGTTCCAGGGCTCTGTCACTCTTACAGTAAAAAATTTTTTTCGGATATTCACCTTGAACCTCCTATGCTCCAATTTACACCCATTACCCCTTTTCCTATCACTGGTCATCACTGAGAAAAGCCTAACTCCTTACATATTTGTAAACATTGATGAGGTCACCCCTCAGTCTCCTTTTCTCCAAGCTAAAGAGACCCAGCTCCCTCAGCCTTTCCTCATAAGGGAGATGTTCCACTCCCTTAATCATCTTAGTAGCTCTGCCCTGGACTCTTTCGAGCAGTTCCCTGTCCTTCTTGAACTGAGGGGCCCATAACTGGACACAATACTCCAGATGTGGCCTCACCAATGCAGAATAGAGGGGGAGGAGAACCTCTCTCGACCGACTAACCACACCCTTTCTAATGCACCCCAGGATGCCATTGGCCTTCTTGGCCACAAGGGCACATTGCTGGCTCATGGTCATCCTCCTGTCTACCAGGACCCCCAGGTCTCTTTCACCTACACTACTCTCCAGCAGTTCAGCCCCCAACCTGTACTGGGACATGGTGTTGTTCTTCCCCAAATGTAAAACTCTGCACTTCCCCTTGTTGAATTTCATCATGTTTCTCCCCGCCCAACTCTCCAACCTATCTAAGTCTCTCTGAATGGCAGCACAGCCTTCTGGTGTGTCAGCCACTCCTCCCAGCTTAGTGTCATCAGCAAACTTGCTGAGGGTACATTCTATACCCTCATCCAGGTCGTTGATGAAGATGTTGAACAACACCGGTCCCAGTACTGACCCCTGTGGGACTCCACTAGTCACACACCTCCAACCAGATTCTGCCCCATTTACTACAACTCTCTGACTCCTTCCTTTCAACCAGTTCCTGATCCACCTCACTACCTGATCACCAAACCCATACTTGATCAACTTACCTACAAGGGTGCTGTGGAAGGCATTTGTGTGTATCTCAGCACGTAGCTGACATTCTGTTCATGCATTTGGTGACAGACTTTAGCCAGACCTTTGCTGCAGTGACTCCTCTGTGCTTCCTTCTGGGTATTTCTACCTGCCGGTTCTAGTCCAGCTGGTGAGTTGCAGGTGGGTTTGTGCTGCAGTTCATGTGGCTCAGCAGAGAGAGCTACAGCCTGGCTGGCCATTCAAATCAAACCCCAAACCCAGATGTCTCCATTTGGGATGATTTATCAAATTGTTGTGTGGATTTTAAGCATGTTTTAGAAGTTTACTATGACAATAATATTCTCTGTTTCATTCTAGGTCTGGCAGGAAGCAGAGCGAAGAATCTCTGAAAAACTTGACTGAGGTAATGTGTCATGATGTTAGGGGTGTTTTTAAGGGAAATGATGAGTATTCCCAGCTCTTGAAAATCATGGCCTGAGATCTAAGTCCCTGTGCTCAGCACAGGGTTTTTCTGCTCACGTTCCAGTCTAGCCTTCACTGTGAGAACTTCCTGCTCACAAAATATTGTGTAGAATGTTTTGCAGTTCCTGGAAAAAGAAACAGGGCAAAGAAAAGTGCCCCATTTCCTTTAGACAGAAACGCTTGGCTGAGGCTGAAGGCACCTTTCACTGGAGTTAGTCCTCAAACACAAACAGAAAAGAAGCCCTGAGGCAGATCTTTGTAGACTCCAGCCATCACTTCTCCATTTGGGATGAGACCTTTAGTTTTTATCACATTGTTGTGTGGATTTTAAGCATGTTTTAGAAGTTTACTATGACAATAATATTGTCTATTTTTTGTATAACTCTAGGTCTGGCAGGAACTGGGATTCTTCAGTCATCTCTGAAGCAGGAAGGGACACCCCTCCTCCAGGACACCTCTCCACCAGGACAGGCCTCTCCAGGATCAGCCAGTGCCCCAGGGCTGTGCCCCTCTCCCTGGCTGTCCCTGCCTCCCAGGGTGACAAGCTCTGCAGACCCTTGGCATGTGGCAGGGGGCCTGTGCCCCCTGGGAGCCACAGCCTGGGCACCCCTGGATCTGCTCCTTCCCAGCCCCAGAGATTTCCCTTCAGTTCATCCTCCTGATTTTGTTTCTCACCTCGACTCATTTTCTCTCACTGTGAATTTAAATTCTAATCAGAAAAAAGTCTCTTAACAGTCATGTAACACAAATGCAGTTTTAAAAGTGATTATACAAATGCAATTGTAAAACTGCAAAAAGTGGTTTTTAATACTCTTAATGTTTTTTAATACTGTTTTAAGGCAATTAAAAAACAAAACAGTTTTAAGAGTGATGGTGCACAAATGCAGTTTTAAGACATATAACAAAAATATAACAAAATATAGCAAAAAAAATAACATAATAACAGAACATATACAGTAAAAGTATAGCTTAAAAATAGTTTTTTAATACCTTTTAAAGGCATTTTTAAAAAAACAGTTTTAAAAGTGATGGTGTACAAATGCAATTATACAACATATAACATAAATAATATATCCTAATGAAATATAACATAATAACAAAACACATACAAAAAAAGTATAACTTTTAAAAAAATGTAACAAGACTGTTAAGAAGAGTCTTTTTTTTCTGATTAAAAGAAAAATTCACAGTGAGAGAAACCAAGTCAAGGTGAGAAAGAAAATCAGGAGGATGAACTGAAGGGAAATCTCTGGGGCTGGGAAGGAGCAGATCCAGGGGTGCCCAGGCTGTGGCTCCCAGGGGGCACAGGCCCCTTGCCACATGCCAAGGGTCTGCAGAGCTTGTCACCCTGGGAGGCAGGGACAGCCAGGGAGAGGGGCACAGCCCTGGGGCACTGGCTGATCCTGGAGAGGCCTGTCCTGGTGGTGGGGTGTCCTGGTGGAGAGGTGTCCTGGCAGAGAGGTAATGCCTCATTATGTTAGGGGTGTTTTTAAGGGAAATGATGAGTGTTCCCAGCTCTTGAAAATCATGGCCTGAGAGTTGTCAAGTCCCTGTGCTCAGCACAGGCTTTTTCTGCTCACTTTCCAGTCTAGACTTCACTGTGAGAACTTCCTGCTCACAAAATATTGTGTAGAATGTTTTGCAGTTGCTGAAAAAAAGAAACAGGGCTAAGAAAAGTGCCCCATTCCCTCCAGACAGAAACGCTTGGCTGAGGCTGAAGGCATCTTTCACTAGAGTTAGTCCACAAACACAAACATAAAAGAAGCCCTGAGGCAGATCTTTGTAGACTCCAGCCATCACTTCTCCTCCTATGTCCATGGTTGCTTTCAGCACCAGTCCATGACAGGTACACTCTGTTGTTTGCTCTTAATTTCTTCTGTCTCTCTAGTCATGGCTGGTGTTTGTAGCTCATGCAGTGCAGCCTGTTCTGAATCGTTAAGAGAGAAGAATCAGTGACAAAAGAGTGTTCACGCAAACTTCAAGGAGTTGAAGGCTTGTAACACACAGCACTGAACCTGCTCTGATCTGAGGCCAGATGTCCCCAGAGCAGCTGCCCCTGTTCCATGGTTGTTCCTCCAGAGTCCCCGCTTAGCAGGGACTTAGCAGGGATCCGCTTAGCTGGTTCAGAGCAAGCAGGCCCTGAGACAATTTCTTTCCATTCCTGAATACTTTTAATCATCCAGGGTATTCAGCTCCAGCTTTAGGGCTCTTTCCACAGGTCTGAGTGGACATAAAGCATACATTGCATCCGTGTGCATTTTTACCGATTAAGCTAATGTGGAAAAAAAATGTGTTTGTTCTTTCATGCCCTTTTATTATGTTCCCTTGGGAGTTCTTTAATCTCTTTCTGATTGTAGTCTCTCCAGTTGCCCATAATGTTTTTACAGAGATCTATTGTCTATTGTCTACTGTCTATTGTCAAAGTAACACCAAGAATCTTGTCTCTTTTCTCTGTAGTCTCTGCTGAACTTGAAACTGCCCATCCTGGAGCTTTTTCCAATGGAGTTGCGTTCTACAATGATGGATGCTGTGAAGAGCCATGGACCTCTCTTCTGAGGCAGCCTTGCCACAAGGGACCGTCACCCACCTGTTCCTGTGATCATCAAGATCTGTTTTGTATATATCTGTTTACGTTTATAGACCTCTTCCTCCCCCCATGTGTTAATTTCCTTTCCTTGTTTCAGTAAAGTTTATAGACCTGTTTCTCACCTCACATGTTACTCCCCTTTCCTTGTTTCAGTAAACCTGTTCCAGTTTTATTTTCCAACCTTTCAGTCTGTCTTCCTTATTCTCCTATCTTCTCTTCGGAGGCTGGAGGTGGGGGTAACAAGAGAGCATTTCTGCCCTCTGACTTGTGATTCACCCTGACCACTTACCTAGGACAGAGAGGATACTGTTTTACTTCTGGGGAGCACCCCACTTTGTTTTTATCCACACAGGCTATGCTGACTTTAGCAGCCTCACATCTGTGCTCATCTGACTGCCCTTCTCTAGGTGTCCGGGGCTGCCTGATCCACAAATACACTGACAGCCAGTTAGGATTTTGAAGGCTCCATATTTTAACAAAGCTTGTTTAAGTCTTCCCCGGTAATCACTGGGGTGGTCATCTGGCCTCTGTTTACATTCCTGTACTTTTTCCTTGTGAGCTCTAATTGCATTTATCAAACCTCTAACCACAGCTTGGCAATTGTTTCTGTTTTATGACTGTAATCCCAATTAGAATCTACCTGACGCCAGTCAGTCTGATTTCCTCCTGCCTGTTAGGATTAATTTCACATTCTTTTCAGTTATTTTCCTTCTTTTCTGAACAGAACAATTCTCAAAAACAGGTTATTGTCTGCTCAGGGTGTATTATATCCCTCCCAAATTACTAGAGGAACAACAATGTATGTCAAGTTGTAGCTTTTTCCTTAACTTGGAGACTGGATTTCCCCACATAACCAAATCCATGGGGCTCCAGGGGTGATGTGTATATACATCCAGGTCCCAGAGCACTGGAGGCTGCTTAATGTGATCCCATCTACAAGAAGGGCTGGAATCCTTCTGAGGAACTACAGGCCTGTCAGCCTGACCTCAGCACCAGGAAAGATCATGGAGAGGCTTATCTTGAGGGAGCTCTCATGGCAAGTGTGGCACAGCCAGGGGATCAGGGCAGGCCAAGGTCTTGCTTGGCCAACCTGATCTCTTTCTGTCACCGTGTGACCCACCTGTTGGATGAGGGAAAGGCTGTGGACGTTGTCTACCTGGACTTGGGCAAGGCCTTTGACACCATCTGCCACAGCATCTCCTGGAGAAGCTGGTGAATCGTGGCACAGACAAGTGTTCTCTTCACTGGGTACAAAACTGGCTGGTGGCAGGGCCCAGAGAGTCATGGTAAACGGGTCAAATCCAGTTGATGACTGGTCACCAGTGGTGTCCCTCAGGGCTCAGTGCTGGGGCCAGTCTTGTCCAGTGTCTTTATCCATGATCTGGATGAAGGGATGGAGGGCACCCTCAGCCAGTGTCCAGACAACACCAGGTTGGGTGGGAGTGTTGATCTGCTGGAGGGTAGGAGGGCTCTGCAGAGAGACCTGGACAGGCTGGATGGATGGGCCAAAGCCAATGGGATGAGGTTCAACAAGGTCAAGTGCAGGGTCCTGCATGTTGGTCACAACAACCCCAGGCAACACTACAGGTTTGGGGCAGAGTGGCTGGAACTGCCCAGCAGAAAAAGACCTGGGGGTGCTGGTTGACACCTGGATGTACATGAGCCAGTGTGTGCCCAGGTGGCCAAGAAGGCCACCAGCATCCTGGCCTGCAGCAGGAACAGCATGGCCAGCAGGAGCAGGGAGGTGCTGGTGCCCTGTGCTGGGCACTGCTGAGGCTGCACCTCCAGCACTGGGGGCAGTTCTGGGCACCGTTTGACTCAGGATCAACAGCAATGCTCTTGATCCCCTGCCCCTCCCACCCAGGTAGGGAAGAACTTGATCTCTAACATTATTCTATCACTGGCACACAAGATGGGTCACTAATCCCTCCCTTCCATGTAAAGGGCTAATGGCTTGTTAATATGGTGATTTCAATTACTCAGTGTGCTTTTCCCCAGTACTTAAGGCTGTCCCCAAGACGAGCTGTGGGCAGAGCTCCTGTCCATCCCTTCCATCTGTCCTGTAGGCCTGTCTCAAGGCTGGGCTGGTGACTCCTTGGGGAATGTATTTCTCTAACTGGAAGCTGGTTTTGTCTAATTCTCACTGTTTCACTGTTTTCTAGGGCCTGTTTTTATTCTTTGTGTCCTTTATATTTTCTTTTATGTGATTTTTTTTCCCTAATGTGATTTTCCCCCCAAATTTTACTTATATCAATTCATAATTGACATTAGCTTTACAAGAACCAAACTCATCTTACCTGTTCTTTGCAAGGCAGTTTTTTGAAGAGTTATAAGACTCAAACCCAGTCTGTACTGTACGACCTCTGAATTTAAATAAACAAGAGAATCTAGGATAATTGTTAGACTATATTTCATTATTGACAATCTTTTTAATTGGAGAACAATAGTATCAGAAGCTATTGTAGGAGAGAGTTACTTTCTGTGAAAAAATAAAAAAGCTCTTTGTTCTAAAACTGACAGTTCTTTTCCCACTTGTTTTATCTGAAAAAAAATGAGTGCTTTAAATAAAGAAAAAATATTTCAAATGGAAAATCAAATTTTGCCTCAGATAATTTTGATTTGTTTAGGCCAATTTAACAGTCACAATATGGCCACTTCTAAAATCCACCACAGTCCTGAGAGAGGCTCCTATAAATGGTTAAACACCATTTATCTGTGCTTCTGCTCAGCCTTGACTGCTTTTTTCCCTCCCATCACTGCCAGTTACATTTGAAGTCCAAAGAGCCTCCAACAGAGACCACTGCCCAGAAGTTCCCTGTGTTGTCAGCCCCAGGCAACGATGACAGATTCAGTCCTTTCTGCTCCCAACACCATAGTTTCCTTGGACAGGAAAAAATGCATCGATCCAAGGCTTTCCCCAAGGCTGCACTACCTGGCCTGCACCCCTCAGCAGGTGCCATTCCCAGCATGCCATTTACTAGAGAATGATTAAACATGGTATTTTACACATGCTCCGCAGGCCTGCAGAGCAGGGCAAGCTGTCTATGTGAGCCAGCATGGGCAGGCTGGAGGAACAACCACAAAGCCATGGAACAAATGCAGAGAGTAAATTGATTTTTGTTACCTCATTGACCGAGGGATCCCTGAAGCAGCACCTGGGCAGAGGCACACAAGCAGGGACGCAGGCGCCGCAGAGCTCAGACTATGCTAGAGGGTCACTGAACCTGCTCTTTACACCATTATTAACTTAATCAAACTAGAATGAAACTGCACTGCCAAAGTATGACCTAATTAGAGCAAAACTTTATTTGAAACTAAAGAGCATGAATAAGCTCAACAATGTTTTGGAAGAGAAGACAGGAAGATGAATGAAGAACATAAACAAATTCAGGTTGACCATTCACCCTTCTCTTTTTTCAGAGGAGGTTCTGTTTGATGAGATTTTTCCCATTTGGTGTCTTGGGAAGCTCCAGCTGCTCTTTTTGTATTGTCTTTCCTAGGAGGAACTGCCACTTCCCCACGTGGATGGTATCGTCTGTGTGGGGGTGACCTTGACTGGTGGTAGCCAGGTGATGTTGGCTGAGAACCATAATTACCACTCTTCTCTTCTCCTCCTCTTGGATTTGGTGGTGATCGCAGGCGGGAACGAGAAAGGGATCGACTACATGATGGAGAGTAGGAGCGCTTCCAGGAAGAACCTTTTGAGTAAGATGAAGCAGGACTCTTGCACCTTGAAAAAAAACACCACACAAAAAAACATAAATGAAGTTAATTCAAAACAGTTACTCTCCCCTATCTTCCCCCTCCCCAGTTTTTTCCCCCCCTTTCCATATGCTTCTGCCAAAGCCTCATTCAGCTGCTGACATCGTGTCCCTGCAAACTGAAGAACTTGATAACAGGTGAAGTTTCTGCTTACAAGAGAGAACAGCTGCTGCTCTTGTTAGTGTAAAAACACATGGGAAGAGAAAGTCTCTTGGCACTCACTTCCGTCCCATGAGCTCCCACGGCTACTGACTGGTTTCAGGTGCTGTGCACTGGCCTCTGCTCATATGTGCACACACACAGTTTTCACTGCTCTGCAAGTACACTCAGTGCAAATCATTTGTGTTGCAGGAAGGTGCACAAAGAGCAAGTCTGGGTGGCTACAGGGCACCACCAACCACCAAGAAAACACGACCGAGCCTGAAGACAGTGAAGTTCCGTTTTAAAACGCCAGCTCAGTGCATTCACCTTCACTCCTTCTTTGGCAATTTGTGCAGGATGCAAAATCCTTGCATTGCAGCCTGACACACTGGGCCACTGAACCTACACTTCCAGTGGATGTCCCAAGCAACACGTTGCACTCCATCTCTAACCAAGGCTGGTGGCTGCATTGAAGAAGAATCCTCTCTAAAAGCTTCTACCCTTAGTGTCTCGTACTGTCACACCCCACCACTACTCTAGGGAAGAACCTGAGAGCTGTTCAGGACTCCTGCCTGAGGGAGTTTAGGGGGTAGAAAATATCAGCTACCCTGAGGGGTTTTATCACCAGATTTCTGATAATATTTTGTAAAGAACCACATCACATTATTCCCCATATGTTCATTAGCATCACTCCTCCCCTCAAAGTCCTTCACCAATTTAAGATTTTCTTACAAACAGTCTGCTCTTTTAATTTCTAGGAAAAAATCTAGCCACCTCAGCAGTGGACTTGCAAAAGCCACTAGTTTGCAGTCTGGGTTAAAAAATATCTCTGCGGATCCATATGACAACAGAAGAGAAATGAATCATAGGATCCTTTGGTTTGGAAAAGACTTTAGAGTCCAACCCTTAACTCAACCCTACAGAGTCCAGTGCCACTGGCCTTCTTGGCTGCCTGGGCACATGCTGGCTCCTAATCAGCTACTGTCAATCACCACCCCCAGATCCCTCTCTGCACTGCTCTCTAGACAGCTTTCCATCCACTCTTCCCCATGCCTGGAGTGTTGCCTGGGGTTGCTGTGACCCAAGTGCAGGATCTGACACTTGGCCTTCTTGAACTTCACACAACTGGCACTGGCCTGTCCAGGTCCCTCTGTGAAGCCTTCCTACCCTCAAACAGTTCAACACTCCCACCCAACTTGATGTCAGCTGCAAACTAAGTGAGGGTGCACTTGACGCCCTTGTCCAGATAATTCAGAAAGACGTTAAAGAGACCTGTTCCCAGCACTGAACCCTGGGGAACACCACTGGGGACTGGCTGCTAGCTGGATTGAACTCCACTCACTACAACTCTTTGGGTCTAGTCACCAGCCTGTTTTTTCCCCAGTACACCAGTGAAATGAAGACACTTTCTCTCTTGTTTCTCCTCCAAAGTCCTTTGAGCCAGTGGTCATAAGCAGCACAGGGAGAGGAAGAACATCCAGGAACTGCACTGAATCAAGAGGTGAAGGATGTCATTGTAGAGGAACTCCAGTAAAAGAGACACCTGCTCCTGAACAGCTGCTGCCAAATTCTAACTCTCAGTCAACTGTAATCACTGCCACATTGGCAGCTAGGAACCTACATATGAAACTCCAATCACTGCATGTATGGGAGTTTGATTTTAAATAACCTTACTGCAAGCACAGATCCCCTTTGTTGAAGCCAATTCAGATTAAGCCATTTAATAACTAATTGCTGCTTGTGTTCTCCACAACCTTCTGTGCCTATTAATGTCACTGTACATCAGCTGTTGTGTAAGTGATGTGTTACAGCCTTGTGTGAAAGGTTACAAGTACCAATAGATTGAGTTTCTGTCAAATACTTACAGTTTCCAGCCTGCTCTGCCACCTGCTGCGCCAATTGTCCTGGATCTCACTGGATGACCTTCTGGAGTAGGGAGAGGAAAAAGAAAACAATTGCCTTCAGTTCAGCCAAAGATAATTCTTTATAAGAAATGCTAAAGTTGTAGTTACTTACCAGTGGTGGCTGATTGCCCTTGGGGGCCCAGAAGACTTGGTAATGCCGGTTGCCTTAGCAGAGGAACCTGAGAGCCCTTGGGAATAAATGCAAACAGTTGGAAAATAAGCTCCATGAAAATACAAGAATCATGGCATATGGTGGCAGAAAACTTACCTTCTCTTCCAACAACCTGCTGGTGGGCAGAAAGGAAGGTTTAGAAAGCTCAGCAGCACTCACCAGAGCAGCAGAAGGTATCACAGTCATGAGTGAGGCTGAAGGTGGTGGCAGCCGGTGCTGCTGCTGCTGAATCTGCCTAGGGAGCTTGTTTCCTAGGGAGCCAGTTCCATTCTTGAAGTGGCTCACAGCCTAGAGGCAGAAAAACATTTACCAAAAGGTAATATGAAACTTGAGTAGGTAAGACAAACAGAAACCTCCACAGACTGTCTAAAGAGTTGTAAGCTTCAGTCCCAACATATCATGTGTGTGAAAAGTAAATTTAGCCATATTCAATTTAGCCTTACTAAAGGATGTGCAAATTAATGGTTTTCGTCCCTTTCAGCTTTTTGCAGATAAGACTTTTCTTACTAACTGAATAGGTAAAAGCCATCGCATTACCTGGCGTAGGGACACATTGGCATCTAAAGCATCTGGGGAAACATGTGCCTGCTGACAGGTTGGGCATGTGTGCTCCTCAGATTCCAGTAGTGCTGTTCTAATACCTGCACAGAGGCAGAATCATCAAAATAGGTTTAAGCCAAACAAAAGCAATTGGAGGATTCTAGTAAATTTTTGTCCTGGTTTAAGCAAGGCTGAAGACCATTTTCCTTTTACTGATTTTTTTTCCTTCAGTAAGCTTTCTTTTAACTAGTCACAGTGTGTTCTAAGGCTGATAAGAATGGTCGCATCTTTATTCTGCTGGCTCAGACACTAAGGGGAGATCCCCCCCCCCCCCCAGGGGGCTGAATTAGACAGACAGCAAAAAG